AGTCAGGAAAAAGTTCCAGAAATCTGAAATACAAAGATTACTTCGATCCAGTTGAGAATGATGAAGGTAAATCAAATATTTATGATGACGAGCTGGGTTCAGATGAAGAAGAGGAAGAATTTGCTGGAGAAGAAGCAGATGAAGAAAGCATTTCAGAAACGGATGACGATAATGACCTGGAAGAAAGTGAAGAGGATAAACAGCATAAAGAAGGCTCAAAGAGAGTGACTTTTGCTTTGCCAGATGATGGGGAAAATAAAGATACAGATATGTTAAATGTAAAGGAAGATTTTGATGAAAATAAATCCTCTTTTGAAAAAAGACAAGAGAAGATGAATGAAAAAATTGCATCTTTAGAGAAAGAATTACTGGAAAAAAAGCCTTGGCAGCTTCAGGGGGAAGTGACGGCCCAGAAGCGACCGGAGAACAGCCTCCTGGAGGAGACGCTGCACTTCGACCATGCCGTCCGCATGGCTCCTGTGATCACAGAGGAGACCACCCTCCAGCTAGAGGACATCATTAAGCAGAGGATAAGAGATCAGGCGTGGGATGATGTAGTACGGAAGGAAAAACCTAAAGAGGATGCGTATGAATATAAGAAGCGATTAACCTTAGACCAGGAGAAGAGTAAACTGAGCCTTGCTGAAATTTATGAGCAGGAGTACATGAAACTCAACCAGCAAAAAACTGCAGAAGAAGAAAATCCAGAGCATGTAGAAATTCAGAAGATGATGGATTCTCTCTTCCTAAAATTAGATGCGCTGTCAAACTTCCACTTCATCCCCAAACCGCCGGTGCCAGAGATTAAAGTGGTGTCCAATCTGCCAGCAATAGCCATGGAGGAAGTGGCCCCTGTGAGAGTCAGTGACACGGCCCTCTAGCCCCTGAGGAAATCAAGGAGAAAAATAGAGCTGGAGATATAAAAACAGCTGCTGAGAAAACAGCTACAGACAAGAAAAGAGAACGCAGGAAAAAGAAATATCAAAAGCGTTTGAAAATAAAGGCAAAAGAGAGGCGGAGAAAGTTGCTTGAGAAGAGCAACCCAGATCAAGCCGGGAAGTGCAGCAAAGCAGTCGCCTCGGAGAAGCTGAACCAGCTGACCCGAGCTGGCAAAGCATCCTTGTTAAAGGATGAAGGAAAGGACAAGGCCCTGAAGTCGTCTCAAGCATTCTTTGCTAAGTTACAAGATCAAGTAAAAATGCAAATCAATGATGCAAAAAAACCAGAAAAGAAGAAAAAGAAAAAACAGGATATTTCTGTCCATAAATTAAAGCTGTAATATATTTGAATGTCATGTACATATTAATGTGTAAGCTATTTGACTGTTCTGTTTTATAATAAAATTCCTGAGTACTGTCAAAAAAAAAAAAAAAAAACAAGGACTCTCCCAGAAAAAAGGAGAAATTTGGTATGATCAAAACATGGGTGAATGTTTAGATTTCACAAATGTATTACAATTAAAGTTACATAGCCACTGATCCCCTTGAAAAATTCTCCTTGCTTCAAACATTCTTGCCGCTTTCAGAATCAGTTCTCAAAGTCTACTTTATTATTATTTTTATGAGGTCTAATCAAAACTATGTTGCTCCTAAGTGCCATCCAATACAAAAGCAGAGTTATGAAAACATTACAGTGTACACTCAATGACCTAATAATCAGCTCTGTACCATATGACTTCTGGCTCTTTTTTACTGAAGACTATCAGGCCTCCAACCTCTTAAAACAAGTATACTGCAAATGGCTTAAATAAAAGAGACAAGTGCTACGGTTTGTAGGGAATCCAGAAAGGACAAAACTCTCCGGTAGTAAAAACACCAGCTCCACTAGACAGCACATATTTATTTGATTTTCAAACAAAGGAAGGGAATATGAAGGCAAGGCAGGCTGTGAGCAGGACCTTGGAAGTTAGTTCGAAGTTTCTTTTCTTTTCTTTCTTTCTTTCTTTCTTTCTTTCTTTCTTTTTTTTTTTTTTGTATTTTAGGACAAGGTCTACAGGGTCTCACTGCATAGATTGGACTTGTAGTGATCCTCCTGTTTACAACCTCCCAGGTGCTAAGATTACTGGCATCTGCCTTGTCTCAAGGCCCACTCTCAGTTGCTGTCTTAGTGAGCGCTGGGGGTGGGACTGGCACTCAAAGACTTTTCTAAGTAGTAAATTTTGCCAATTAAGAGAACTGTTTGAGGCCAGGGAGATAGCTCAGTATGGCAAGCACAAAGGCCTGAGTTTAATCCCTGCTTCCGCAAAAAAAAAAAAAAAAAAAAAAAAAAAAAAAAAAAGACTGTTTGATCTCTAAGGTTGACACTTTTATTGCTGTGGAACAAGAAGAGTCAACAGTCCTCAGCTGCCTCAGCTGTGGTATTAGCTCAACTTCTGAAAACTGTGAATATGAGCTTTTCAAATGCTGACAGAGGTCCCTATAATCAACAGCTTAATACTTACAAAGCCTGGTCTCCAGCACTTCTCTATAGTTGAAATGAGCCAATCCCAGTGTTGTGGATGTAGCTCAATGGTATGGCACTTGCCTAGCATTTGAGAGGCTCTGAGTTTAATTTCCTGCATTGCAGAAAAAACAAAAAAGCTGAAGTCAAAATTACCATAAAGGGTTAGAGAGATAGCTCAGAAGCATAAGCACCTTCCTGGCAAGCACAAGATCCTGAGTTCGATTCCCGGCCCAAACATAAACTAAGTACTAAACAATATTAAATGGAACAAGTGGGACACAGACCTCTGGGATGATGGCAGAATATTATGCAACAGAGAAAGAGCCTTTATATGATGTGCTGCCAAGACAGGGTAATATAGCAACTCAAAGGAGGGAAGTGGAACCTTTGGACTAAAGAAGGATCAGAACTAAAGAGTTGAAGTACCCTGAGAGAGCAAAGAGAGAAATGTCAACAAAGAAGAAGGTAGTAGGTGGTACTTTCTCCCTGAGTTGGGATTCATTACTTGAGAGGAGTGGCTTAACCCTGTAGACAACACAATGTTCTGGCAACCCCAGAGGCCATCATGGAGAGAAGTAACAGCACAACAGACAGGTGGATGTTGTAGATGGCACTGGCTATATAGTGGACAAAATTTGGGGCTGGGGAGATGGCTCAGCAGAATAAGCGCTTCCCTGGCAAGTGCAAGGGCCTGAGTTCAATCCCCGGTTCTGCCAAAATTTGACCATCCCACAGCGAGGGCAATTGGCAGAGATCCATCTTGGAGAGGAAGATTGGCTGGGAGCCATCTTTGAAGAGGCCAACTGAGCTTGGAACTCAGAACAACTGCTGAGCCCATCATAGCTGAGTTCATGCCTACAGAAGATGCGCTGATTGCCGCAGGCTGAATGGATCTGTTTCCAGCCTTGAATCCAGAAACTAGCATGAACTATAGGGTAAATAAAGGTGCAGCCTCACTGAGATTATACAGTTCCCCACTGTAAAGGTACTTCTGGCTTGCTGGGATAGATCAACATGAATCTAGACCCTATTTCTACACATTATTTTCCAGGGTCAGTAAAGACAAACTTTTTTTTTTTAATTTAATTTTTTTTATTTATGTGGGGGGGGGCAGCTCAGCCCACCAGGGAGCGGGGCTGGCTGGCATGTGGTCCTGGGGAATTGAACCGCGGTCCCTGTGCTCTGCTAAGCTTTTTTTTTAATTTAATTTTTTTATTTATGTGTGTGTGTGTGTGTGTGTGTGTGTGTGTGTGTGTGGCCAGCTCAGCCCACCAGGGAGCAGGGCTGGCTGAAGACAAACTTTTAAGTGGACATTTTTCCCTCCCACTTTATTTATTTTTTTTCTTTCTTTTGGTATTTGTGGGTTTTGTGTTTTGTTTTGTTTTGGTTTCCATTGTTTGATCTTACTTTTATGAGTATGAGCACAGTTTCTATTTTTTTGACTGTTATTCTGTTCAATTTATCCTATTTTATTTCTTCCTTTTTCCTTCCCATCTTCTGCAGCAGTTTCATAAAGGTTTCATGATTTTCATTTGTCTTCTACCCTTCCATATGTTCTTTTTCTCTTCTCTATTGCTCTCATTTCCCCTAACCTCTTTTAGGTTTTCTCCCTTTTGGAAAAAAGAAATTGGCATATTGGGGGTTTATTTACTACATGGACTGTTCTAGTTTGTTTTAAATTTTTTATATAACCCCAAATATAGTTCAAGTTAATAGTTACTTTATTTTGCCTTTTTAAGTCATTTATCTATTTACTTATTTGGTACAGGGTCTCACTATGCAGCTCGGAGGTTCTCACTATGCGGCTCAGACTCATAGTGATTCTCCTGTCTCATCCTCCCCAGCACTAAGATTATAGGCATGCAACACCATGCCCAGTTTCCATGGCAGCATGGCATGAGGGGCCAGCATGGCACAGAGTACCAGGGACCAAACCCAGGTCCTTGTGCTTGCCAGGTAGGTGCTTAAACCACTGAGCTATCTCCCTAGCCCCTTGTTTTGCCATTTTAAAATTGCATTTGATGCTATTGTTATTGCTGATTGTACCATTTTAGCCAAAGTGACATAATTGTTCCAACCAGCTATTCTTCCTGTTATACCAAGAGTGAGATTGACTAAGAGTCATAGAAAATACTGTGGGCCAGTGCCAAACAACTGGGTGCTGGGCCAAGCAGGCAGCAACTTTTCAAATCAAATAAATTGAAGAAGTAGGCTCTTACAACAGATTCAAAATGTAAAAACCTGGTGTACTTGGAAAACACCACTGAGAAGTGGTCAGATCCTAAAGGTTCTATATACTATCAATAAAGCCACTCATCATAGGCAAATTATAGGAAATTAAACTTAAAAATTAGAAAATGAGAAAACACTTAAACAAGATGCAATCCTAGACATCAAGTTAACCAAAGGCAAAGCAAGGGCACAATGAAGTAGGATAATATGAAAGCCATTCACCTGGGCTCTCTGAAGTACTAACATCAAAGCAAATAAATGAGGCCCTTGAAAACTAATATATTAAAATTTTCTCCGGTATTTGCAGAGATGGTGAACATAATAAACAACATGTTTATGACTTACAGCAGATATAGATGTTAGAAGATCTTAGGAAAAGGATAAAAATCATGAATACCCAACATAGGAAAGAAATGGAATACATTCAACAGATTTAAGCAGATATCCAGGAGAATATTATACTGAAAGTATACACTGTGAAGACAGAATCTCATACACAAACAATCAGGCTAGTGGTTAGGATTCATTAAAAAAATAAAAAAATAAAAATTCTTAAAAATAGCAAGGGAAGGGTCAGACGAATAGCTCAGCAGATTAAATGCCTGCTTAGGTAAGTGCAGAAATTGGGATTCAATCTCTGGCACCACATGCTGCACCAGCCCTGACCCCAGGTGGCCTGAGCCAGCCACTGAGCCCAGATGTGGTGGTGCAGACCTGTAATTCCAACATTGGGGAGGCTGAAAACAGGAGGATCACTATGAGTCTGAGCTGCATAGTGAGACCTGTACCAAATGCATAAAAAAAAAAAAAAAAAAAACAGAAGACCAGGAGAAATCCATTCAGCAGCTGCTGGATGATCAAAAGAAGAATAACATAAAATCTATTTATGAAAAAGCAGGAGATAAGAAAAATGATACAAAAATTTGTTTGCAGATGTCATGGCAGAAAAATTCCCTGGCAAGGAAAAAAACTTGACATATAGATAAGTAAGGCATAGACAACTCAATTAGTCCTGATCAAAAAAAAAAAAAAAAAAATTCCACAGCAAGACATATAACATTCAAAATTCTGGAAATTGAACATGACAACAGAATATTAAAAATTGTTGGAGAAAAGAAATCACTTATAAAGAAAACCTGTCAAAATCGCAGCTGATTTTGAAACATAAATCTTCAAGTCATGGGGAGCTTAGAGTGCAGTTTTCAAGCCCTAAAGCAAACAACCCCAACCCAGATAGATGTACACTGCAAAACTGTCTTTCAAAACTGGTGGCAAATGGGCTGGCAAGATAGGTCAGTGGACTAAGCACCTCCTTTTGCAAGGGCAGGGACCAGGGTTTGATTCCTGGTCCCACACGCCATGCCAGCCCTGTCCTAGGGTTAGGCTGAACTGGCAACGGAGTCCAGACATGGTGGCACATGCCTGTAATCCCAGCACTGGGGCGGCTAAAAACAGGAGGATCACCATGAATCTGAGCTGTGTAGTGAGACCCTGTATCAAATACATAAAATGAAAAAATATTGATGGCAAAATATGATACATTCATGACAAATAAAAGCCTAAGGAGATTTATGAACACCTAGCAAATATTTTCAAGTGTTCTGAAGGACATTCTCAAAAGAGACAACAAGGAATACAATTGCATGAACTCCAAAGGAATGAATCCAATAGGCAAAGG